CAGCGATGCGGTGTTTACGCGCGCTGCACCTGCGGAAAATAGAACGAATTTTCTTTGTTCTTAAATTAAGTGTAACTTGGCCAAAAAAGAAAGAAAAGACACAGAGAATAAAGTAAGAATATATATGAATGCATGAATGAATGAAAAGTTGCTTAATATGTTATGTAGGAGAATATGAGGTACTAAGGAAATACAAATTAAATATAAACCGATAGAGACTAGCGAAGACAATAGTTTACAGAAGAACACAACACATTCTTAACAGCTGGATTCCACAATATTATTTCTGATATTTCATTGCTTACAGCCTTCCGGACAAGAACTAAATGCTGGATTAATTTGGTCCCAATGTTTTTCTTCTAAGTCCTAAAAAACAAAATTACCTTAAAGTTGTATATTTGTCATGTTATTTCTCCCATAAGATAGCAGTGGTACTAGTGTTTATTATTCTTTGGGGCTGCAGCCTCAATTTGGGCATTTGCCTGTCTCCATGAAGCTCTTCCTTTCACTTCGGTTTACTAGATCTTAGACATTCGGCAGGATCCTTGGGCGGGTGATCAGCTCGTCGGAAGGCCTCTACCTGTACACGAACATAGAAAAAGACACACACACACACACAAACATTGAACATCCATGCCCATAACTTTTGTGTGGGTATAAAGCTTTGCTAGAATGTGTACCTGAAGTCAGAAAAGGCTTGACTACCTATGTGAAGAAGAAGAAGAAGAAGAAGAAGAAGAAAAAAAGAAGAAGAAGAATGCAATAAGCCGTTCCGCAGCGTAGATGTAAACTAGAGTCTTTTCTTCGGGAAAAGTGTGCACTGCAATGACGTTTCAGCGTTATTCCCAATTTACTGCTTTTGTTCTAGTATCTCTGTTAGCATGACGTCAAAACAACGCGTACTAGCCTTATATTGTTGTACTGAATTGTACTCTACTGTACAAGAAAAGCGTAGTTTGTGTAGTGGCGTCACAGAGAAGAACCAATTAGAGAAGACAAGTGTATATTTATAAGATTTGAGGTTTTCACGACGGTGACTATGAAGAAAGCATTCTTCTGGGATGTGGCACCGTGTACATGTGGTATAACCGACGTTTCGGAGGAACGCATCGCCTCCATCTTCAGGGTAGAAGGAAAAATAAGAAAATCCCCATGCGAAGGGACAGTGAGAACCGATGCAAGCAGACTGGAGGCGATACGTTCCTCCGAAACGTCGGTTAACACCACATGTACACACGGTGCCACATCTCAGAAGAATGCTTTCATGTGTATATTTAAGAACAAAACCCGTCTGAATTCAGCAGAGCCATTAAATATTCTTTACACTCTGTGGTAGTTCACTTTTAAAATCCTGTTAGGATAGTTTTTTGTGCTTCACTTATGTAAGATGGCATCTACGCCTTGTACCGTTAGCTACTTTTACTATTGTTTTAAATCTCTTTCATTTTACAAGTATATAACACTCACTTTTGGCACGTTTTAATTAAGACAAACAGTTGACTGTTTCAGATTCTTATCGCGCAACCTTTTCCAAAAATGCTTTGCTGTTCTCTAAACTCGAAAAATATACAAAGTTTTTCCTAGGTTTACCGTAAATAAACAAATATAACAGCCTTAGCATAGTCGTACATCAGCAGTTTTAAATTAAGTAATTTCTCATAAGGCCGGTCACAGTAGCCGAGCGGTCTACGGCATGCACTGTCTTCGCTCCCTCGGAAGCTGAGACCGTGGGTTCGAATCCCACTCAGGGCATGGATGTTTGTGTGCGTTTTTCTGTGTTTGTGTACAGGTAGAGGCCTTGCGACGAGCTGATCACGCGCCCAAGGAGTCCTACCGTATGTGTAAGATCTAGAAAAACCCAAGTGAACGGAGTTCATGGAAGTAGGCCTAGGCCCACTGGGGCTGTAGTGCCAAGGAGAAAAAAAAAAGGACTTGCGACGAGCTGTTCACCAGCGCAAGGAGTCCCATCGAATATCTAAGGTCCAGTAAAACGAAATGAAACGGAGAGTTTCATGGAGGTAGGTCAGGGCCCAAATTGGGGCTGTAGCGCCAAGGAAAAAAATTCTTCATAATTCGTAGAATTTTCTGCTTGATGTGAACCATTTGAAAAATACGATGCTTTTCTGTCTTATTTCACCCATCCTGTGAAGAGTAACTTGCTTATGGTCTACGTTGTCTAATGCAGCTAGATTTCTGAGGAACAGTTCATAGATCAGTTTTCAAAGGAACACCAGGTGTTGCTATCGGACTTGGATATGCATACACAGACAGCATGGAGATCGCATAATCTTACTTTCATTTTTTAAATAAAGGAAGTAGGATAAAGAATTTTAGTTTAGATGAATATTTGCATTCAAATAGACCGATCATCTCAGGAGATCTGCGTACATAACCATTTTATGTATATTTCTGCAGATGTGCCTTTCTTCTCCTCTGTGAAAAAATTCTCAACTCCCCAAGAGTAAAATTTCGTGGTCTTTTACACGTCACATTTCTTCAGCCCATATTTTCGTCAATTTTATGTTTGTTAATGCTCATCTATCGTAAGTGTAAAATATTGTTGAAACACAATCTCTTTACATAGACCTGCTTCTATATGGCTTTTTGACTGGCACTTTAATTTACAGAGATCAGACACCTTCGTACGTATGTTAAAATTTAGTGATCATTTCATATGTTGATAAATGGTAACTGAGATATTGAAATATTAATATTTGGCTACACATGACATTTAAACCCTTTTTGAGCAGGTGGTAATAAAGTGATATCCTGTTGTAGTTGACTTCGTGTAACCAACGTCTCTTTGATGTAGGCCTAACTCATGCTTTTGCTCATTAATCTCGAACTAAAGTGAGCGTCATTATGCATTCAGCAACGACTGATATTTATTGTAGATCGAGAAGCAAATGGATTCTTGCCTGTTAATATGAAGATACAACCAGCAATCGCTTCGCAACAGTATATACAAAAAAAAACTAAGCGATTGAGAATGTTCGTAAAATTGTTAAAATTTCACTAACGAAATAATAATAATAAAATAACTAATTCTTCGACAGCCATGCTAATATTGAGCCGTTCAATGGACACGATTCGTAGCCAGTTCAATCAATCTTCCATCTGAAAAATCTGTGTTAACTAATGGTATCCTATCATATTCTGAGTCTTCCAAGAGGCTCACAAACCAAAATTATCTAAAGTCACATGATTCCTAGCCAGCTTCTTTATTGGTGCGCTGTTGCCTAGCAACGCGCAGTAACATTCCTCCACTGAGACACATCTTCCATTGTTGCATGTTGACCATGTTTACCGAGCCGTTGCCTAGAAATGCTTTGAGCAAATCCGTTACAATTATGTAGGCCTACAAGCTGTTTTATGTGGTCTTGAAAGTCGTGACGTAAATGAGCAGTACAATATATTGAAAGAATAAAACAAGATTTTGCTCTTTTTTATTGTTTACTTACAGAAATCATTGAGGTATTTCTTTTTTCCTATAATTATCTGTTACGATCTGGAGTAAATATGTCATCAGCGTGATTAATTACATTTTAATTATATATATAATTTTAATTTATATTCACGCATAAATTTAAAGTTAGATGGGAGGAAGTTTCCTTCAGTCATTATCGAACATTATCGACGTCAGCAATCTTCGGGTGCGTTCGAGAGGCCATTGTTGATTGGGAAATGCACATGTTGGGCCCCTTCTACTAACTTACATCGAAAGACGCAAGACCTACGGAATAACTATATTCGATGCCACATGTATGTTTCAGTTCGAAGTATTTAGTGAAATATTGTTGACTTATGTTGCGATCAAAGTGGCCACGCGGTCTAAGGCATGAACCGCCTTCGCCCACTGGAACACTGGGATCATGGGTTCGAATCCCACCAAAAGCATGGACGTCTGTTTGCTTTCATTCTGTATTTGTGTTTTTCTGTGTGTATTTAGCGGCCTTGCCACTGGCTGAACCCCGTCCAAGGAGTCCTACAGACTGTGTATAGGAATAAGAAACTGAAAAATCGGCCAAGGCCCGAAGGATTGTAGAGCCAGAGAGAGTTGCGTGCAGAAAAGCATGCGCAGTGTGTGGGTCATTTTTGTCCCGTTTTGAGCTAAACTGGAAGGTGCCGAAAATTGTATTAAAATTCGAAATATCACATTTGATGAAAGTTTGCTGGGCTATATTCGAGTTGTTTCACGAATACAGAAGTATGGACGGAGGCTCTCCATGGGGTTGTCAAAGGTTGTAAAAAGCAGTAAGTATTAACCATCCGGATTTTTTTTATTGTGGACTGAAAAAGCAAGACATACCCCTATACATTCTACTAGAGCCCTCGTTACATATTTTCTTTAACTTAACATGCTTCTTGGGCATTTGGAATTCAATTAAAATTGTATACCATACTTCTGTCTGAATGATAGATTCCCCTTTCTTGAAATCTACAGATAGTTTCACTATTGATTCAATATATCGGCTTTCTTTTCTCCTCTATCTGACGAACTCAAAACATCTGATCCTTCTAGAACTTTCGAATCAGAAATTTCTCCCACCAGAATAAGGTATCGTATGTCAAGAGACGCATCAGAAGGATGTCATAATTTACAAAGTTCCTCGCTGTGTAATATTTTCCATTCTCTATTTTCTTATTGTTTCACATAGAACGTTGTTCTCTGAAATGTCCTGTTCGCTTTCATTGGTTGAAGTAAGACAAGTTTGTCTCGTGGTTGACATAGCGTGACAAGTATGGGAGCATGGTGAATAATGAATTGTGAAATATCTTTAAGGGAGGAGTTGTGGCCTATTTTAAATGTGCGCAATAAGGAAACTGACTATTTTCCTCGGCCGACATAGCCAGTCTGAGTACGCCTTAATACGAAGTGGGTTTCTTCCAAAAGAGAACCAGACGTGGCCACTTCAACGTAGCGTTCAATCTATAGATCTGTTTCGCAGGCATACAAAGTGACTTCCTTTGTTTAATTAAGTTGTTTCTCTTTGTTATAGGGGGTAGTTTGGAGGATACCCGCATGGAATCGGGAGCCCATCAGGGGGGTGCTGGAGGAATGCCCCCAGGCTCCATATATAACAGTACGGGGGCCGGCGCCCCCCGATCTAACAGTAGCAGCAGTTCTGCTTCGCCTCCGACGTCAGTCCAAACTCCATCGGTTAATGCAGCTGCAGCGGCCGCCATGTTGGTCGTCCCGCAGCCAATAAATGCGTCCAAGATGGGTCAGCAGCAGGGAAGCATCGTGTCCACCAATGGAGGCACAGGGCGGAAGTACCAGTGCAAGATGTGTCCGCAGGTAAGCTAACATGTTCTCCGAAAGCTCTAATTGTGCATCCGGTACATCAGCTGTACCCACCCCCTCCCATTAGATTGCAGGCCTTCATCTCTACACGCCACGTGACTCGCTGACACCGCGGTCGTGAACTTCCGATGTGACTTTACGTTCGAGAATACTAACCTTGTAATTTGGTAGATAGGTAGCAATATTTCGAAGGAACTTACTCGTTCTGTCTTCATGTCATAAATCTCACATCACTTTCCCTTTATTACATCTAGCTGTTAGACATTTTCTGTGATGCTCGATTCTTTATCTGTTCTTCCCGTTCAGTAGGTTAAATACGCGGTTAAAGATAGAGAACAGTTAGTTAGTTATTGGAGAGGGTGGGTTTCCCCATGCACTGAGACCTGTATTGGTCCATTGTGCTTCCCTCTATGATTTCTACCAGTCTCTATATCCTACCGGTACTGGTGCTTACCATCAGTCCCGCCCAGCCAGCGAGACCGGCTCTACTAGCTGAGAGGTATCTATAATGCTTCCCCCATCTACCAGAGGTATTAGAGACTGCTGTTGGGCGGGAAACGTCCGTTAATTTGGCTCAGTGACCTCCTTTGGAGATATGAGGTTCTTTTACGTGCCGTAAAGCTACGACACGGGACCCACGGCTTAAAGTCCCTCCCGGAGGACTTGTTCCCTGAATTTTTCCGCCCTTAAAAATTCGACGACCTCCGCCGGGTATTTAAACCCGCGTACTACGAGTCATGAGGTGGGAACGTTACTTCTAGACTACGGAGGCCGCTTAGAGAACAGTTAAGGCAACGTATTAACTAGCTATGTTTCACAGAAATGGAAGCTTTCGTCCATACCGGTATGCAAAACTATATTTGTCAAATTGTACCTCCTTGGTAAAATATTTGGAATCCAGGACTATCTTGATAAATTTTCGTCCTAGGTTATACGCGTCATTAGAATACACAAAACTATAATTTTGCCTGTGGTTCTGTATGGGTGTGAAACTTGGTCTCTGACATTAAGGGAGGAACATAGACTGAGGGTGTTTGAGAAAAAGGTGTTGAGGAGAATATTTGGACCGAAGAGAGATGAAGTGACAGGAGGTTGGAGAAAACTGCATAATGAGGAGCTTCATAACTTGTACTCTTCTCCAGGTATAAATAGAATGATCAAGTTAAGGAGGATGAGGTGGGCAGGGAAACAAGCACGAATGGGGAGACGAGGAATGCATATAGGATATTGGTGGGAAAACCAGAAGTAAAGGGACCACTGGGAAAACCAAGGCGTAGGTGGGTGGAAAATATTAAGATGGATCTTAGAGAGATAGGATGGGATGGTATGGAGTGGATTAATCTGGCTCAGGATAGGGACCAGTGGAGGGCTCTTGTGAACACGGTGATGAATCTTCGGGTTCCATATGCTGGGAAATTCTTGAGTAGCTGCAGAATTGGCGGCTCCTCAAAAAGGACTCAGCCCCATGAGTAAGTAAGTTGTACGTGTTAACAAAATCCATTCTCGTGTTTTCTTTCAGTACCCTTCTTCGTTTTAGAGGTTTCTTTTAAAGGAAATATTAAATATGATAATATCACCTGAGCCACGAATCGACACTGAAGATCGAGGCAGAAAAAGTTTCCGAAACCTTGGCTTTTCGCTCAACTAAGAGGCAGCTGATCCCACGGGAAAATTTTAGAGCATATGTTTGCCGTGAAGTCTCAAATCTTAGAGAATAACAAGTGCTATGAATATGTACGAAAAGTAAGACTTCCCTCAGTGTGATTACTGCACTCCATTCATGATAATAGACCACGTGTTTATTAACATTTTAGTATGTTAGATAGAATCTGTAATGTATGGACGTCCGTTAGTTTGTCTGCAGTGGATGTAAAATGTTTGTTCTTTTTGTATATATTCACGCTTATGCCTACGCGTAGTGACGACAATAAACATCAACCGTGAGGAGAATTCCGATTAAATTTTCCTCTCATAAATGCTCGCAGTCGGAGATTTCCGATTTGATGCACAGGTTTAGTATTTACCTTGTAGTTTTATGCCACAGTCAATAGATGGCTGTCGTATACCCACAGATATTCCTTTTGATATATCGAACATTAACCCTTGACCATTTCCAATCTCATTCTTCTTTAAAGTAACCACCTTTTGTCATTTTACACCCACAGTAACATACAATTTCTGTTGCTTTTAAAATTCAGGTGTAGAGATGACAAGTAACGTTTCTATCACCGATCTCTTCAGCTGCCGTATAAGTTAATCGTTCTATGTGAGCGTCTTGTTGGTAACATGGGCGAGTTTAGAAGATTTCGCTTTAATCCACCATGCTGCATTGGACCTGTGGCCCAGGTTTTTGACAGTCTCATCGGATTTGAAATTTCATTGGTACGATTGCTGTCTACTCAGACCACACTTATTGTGGGCTACTTAGGTTACAGTAGTGCCGTATGACGTTGCCTGATCGCTTCGAACTAGTATTTGTTTATAGTTTATAGTTTATAGTTTGCGAGGCTTCGAGACATGATGCTTAGTTTTATGATCAATTTGTAGAGTAATAGAATGTATTGATTCTGTGGACTATATTAATAAATTTCCTTAAATTTATTTAGTGTAAACCAAAGAAACATTGAAGTCATTGACACGGAATCACAGCAGGAAATCAATCTTTACTGCCCAATTTGCTTCGGCTTGCGTTCCTGGTAGAGTGTGTGTTAAAGAACACTTTTGCAGCAAAAAGTTATTGAAAGAATATCTGACACGTGTCTTAGGGCCCCCATACACACACAGTCTGGCCTCCAGTTCGGCCTGCACAGTTGAAGACTGAAAGGCAAAACTGACGTGAGTGGTGCGGCCGGCCGGCCAATCGTTTGGACTGTTGGCCTGAGGGAAACCCGTCAGTCCGTCAGTTCTATCTGCAGGACCGTAGCACGTGACGTGTGTGACTCAACATTATAGGCTGGAAGACCGTGACTGTGGCATGAAGCCTGCCGCTTTATCTGCGCGTGTATGGGGAAGGTCACAGTTTTGCCTGTAAGGTCGATCGGAAGGCCAAACTGTGTGTGTATGGGGGGCCTTAGACTGTGAAGTCTGTATACAAAGAAACTCAAAAATTAGTAATAACACAATTCAATGCTCCATTATTGCATATAATTTAACCACTAGAGCTGATCCTGAGTATGTTAAATTCATCAGACTGTCCGGTCTTTCTCCATGAAACAAAATCCTTCTTCAGCAATTAATGGTGGCTCAGTTACCCAAGAACCTCCCCCTGACCAACCTTTTATGAAATCCTGAGGTTCATTACCTGTTCATGAGACCACGTTACTGGCCCCCTATCCTGAGCCAAATAGTTCTAATCCAAAATGACCCAGCCTGTGTGTTAAGGTCTATTTCAATAGTGTTCTCCCATCTTCTCGAAGGTCTTCTAACTTATCTATTCGATTCAGGGTTTCGACCAAAATTTTGTATGAATTTTTCACGCACAAAATAATTTAATTCTTGTAAGTATGTATGAATGCCGGTCACGGTAGCCGAGCGGTCTGAGGCATGCACTGTCTTCGCTCGCTCGGAAGCCGAGATCGTGGGTTCGAATCCCACTCAGGGCATGGATGTTTGTGTGCGTTTTTCTGTGTTTGTCTACAGGTAGAGGCCTTGCGACGAGCTGATCACTCGCCCAAGGAGTCCTACCGCATGTCTAAGATCTAGAAAAACCGAAGTGAACGGAGTTCATGGAGGTAGGCCTAGGCCCACTGGGGCTGTAGTGCCAAGGGGAAAAAAAAAGTATGTACGAATACATTGGTCGCTGGCAACCGAAATAAAACGGAGTGCTAAATATGGTTTACATTTAACATGGTCTCCATATTGTTTTGCATTCTTCAATTTTTCCTTATTTCCCTAAGACTATTGCAGTAGAAACATCACATTCCTACATTGATATTGTATATAATCGTGATTCTCAGTCTCAAAGATCAGCCAACCTCTGTCTTAGTATTTCTTAATGAAAGCGGGTCAGTTGATTAAAACCCACTAATTGGGGCGGACAGACGGACATGACGATCACATAAACAAATCTTTTCCGCAAACTTAAGTTAATTATAGTAAACTAGATATATTTTATATAATTTTCATAGTTTCATTAGTGTTATCGAATACCAGCTATAGCCCTAACCTGATTACACAGCAAGGAATGTCTGAATGAAAGAAACCATAATAAAGTTATATATTTCTTTCTGTGGCTCTTCCCGCCCTATATAACGGCCAGTTTGTGCTGAAGAATAGGGAACGTATTATTGCTTGGAATTGGCTGCGTCTGGTTGGACAATTTCTGAGGAGAGCAAAGGTTATAGCTGGTGATAAGGGAGCACAGTGGGGCAGAGAATATTGTTGTATTCTGGGAAGGGAAGGGGTGGATTGCGTAGCCATCTCAGGCCACGGACCTCTGTCAATTCTTCCTCTTGCTGACTGCAATGAAGCGACAGGCTCTCTACAATAAACTAAAACATTCTTTTATATACCGAGTGTTGCAGGAAACCTCAGCGTTTGTTTTATAAACTTCAGTACTGACAGGGTGTTTCATTAGCGTTGCGTATTATGTAGATTCCCAGTTTCGAAGTTTACGGACTCACATACCCTCATAGTTCAATCCCATTTTTATTGAGCTGTCCCAGGTAAATGCTGGCATGGGTCCTTCAGATATGTGGTCATCACGTCATTCTTAATAGTTATCACCAATTTCACGCCGCTTAATAATAGACTCACCTTGCTAGACGTTAAATATACCTGCAGCTCGTGTAGAATCATTAAAGAACAACAAACTTCCAAGCATTTTATTGAGGCAAGATATTAAAATTAATCTTTCTTTAATATTCCGTTTGCCCGCCTATTAATTTCAGTGAGGTTACGTCCTATCAAATTTACAGATATTACAGAACTCCATAAGACATGTTTTGTTTAATATGGAGTGTAGTGCACAAACTCCTTTCGTGTTGTGGTCATCT